CTAGATATAAGGAAGAAATTTTTTAGGATGAAGGTGATGAGACATTGGCCCAGGTTGCCCAGAGAGGTGGTAGAAGCCCCATCCCTGGAAACATTCCAGGTCAGGTTGGACAGGGCTCTGAGCAACCTGATCTGGTTGAAGATGTCCCTGCTCACTGCAGGGGGGTTGGACTAGATGGTCTTGAAAGGTCCCTTCCCACACAAACCCTCTTGTGATTTTTATAAAAAGTGAAAGCTCCTAAAGTTTGATTTCCTTTTTAATATCAGATTTACAAAAGGTGTATTTTTTTCCCCTTGCATCATGATATCACAAACGGATAATGACTTTTGATCAGATATAAAAAGGGGTCAGTATCAGTGCTACTTCTTGGACCTCAGTACTATGAAACACATCCCATTTGTGTGCACCTCCGAAGTGCTGTGTGTCCCTGTGGGCTGGGTGACATCCAGAGGTGCACACACACACCTGAGGGTGTTTCTTACCCGCAGCTGAGGCAGCAGCTTACCCTTGATGAACAGGGAAAGGTCACATTGCACGTCCACCTTGGGAAAGAACAGAAAGCCTGTCGTTGTATAGTGGAGTTTGGTATCTTACCAAGTGTGTTCTGTGCTTCCCCCGCCCCCCACATTAAAATGTTGTTCTCCTCCAAATTCAAATATTATTTTTGTGTGTTCTTATTTTCCAGAATTCATTTGGAATGAATGTTCTGGGGTTCCTGAGAACCGAGCCACGAAAGCACTCACCCTCGACCCTCTTGTGCTGGAATCCCCTCACAAGTTCTTCTTGCGTATGAAGCAGAAATTGCATCAGCAGCAAAAAGGTACCTGGTATTGCTCTTAAAAACACACTTCCTTGACTTCAGGGGTCTTGCTTCTACTCTCTCGTTGTGCTTTGGCACAGTATCATTCTTCATTCTCTGTAGTCTGTGCACAGTGGAAAATGGAGGAAGAAACCTGCAAATCAAACCTGGGGGTGACATTAGACCTGATTTAACTGTGGTTTAGGGCTGGGGACTTCTGACCTTGGAGCTTGACATCATTAGTTAGTTTGAGTGCACAGCCTCCTCTGACCATGAAAGCATCTACCATCTGGCTCCTGATGGGGTTAAGAATTCTTCAGAGACTAGGGGTGACACTTTGCCATTTGAATGGGAAACTTGGTGGAAAAATCCAAAGCCTCTTATTTTGCTGGCTCTTCCCATCCGTAGATTTTAATACACAAAGAGAAAAGCTTTGATTCGGTGAGAAATGATCTTGTATTTGGGTTTTTTTTTCATATTGTTACTTGATAACAACCCTGTATGTGCTTCTGTCCTGTAGTTCAGTTTTGAAAATGCAGGTAGGGAAAATAAGGCATGCCAAAGTCTTGGTAGTGTTCAACTTTGAAATTGAGTTTATCTGAAAACCCCATCAACACTTGCAGCTCCCAGCACAGCAGCAGCGTGGCTGGGAGCCCAGATCTGGACATCTGGAGAGACAGAAATATTTGAGGTGTTGGTTTTTGTGAAAAGAGATTTTTTTTTTTAATCCTTATTGAAGAAAAGAAGAAGAATGGTAAAGATACACAATTAAAAATATGGTGTGCACTAGGTCTTTAACAGCAGTGTTGATCTGGTGGTGAGGAAAAGCTGGTCTGAACAAATTCAAAGAGCTTTAACAACTGAAATAGGCAGTGCTCTCACAATTGGTGTGCTAATCAATACAGCCTTCTCTTATTGAAAATAGAGCTACATTTATGAACGTATTTTAATTAGTTCTCAAATATCACTAATTTCTTTGTTTTTGTTTTTTTAATGTTCAGATCTGACTCCTTCAAACCCAATCAAGCAGAACATTCCCCCTTCCACAACGACAGAGAAGCCGTTAGTCAGATCTGCTTTTGCTGAGCTGCTCAGGAATGACCATGCAGAGTGTGTGGCCACTGATGAGGACGATCTGGATAATTTCCTTATAGAATCAATGGATGCTGATGATGAAATGTCTCAAAACACAATGACTGGGTCTGCGAATGTGAACTCCCCCCTTTCTCAAAATGGGGATCAGTTTGGAGAAAGGTGGGGAAATGGGGAAGCAAAACGTACTGAACTTCAGCAGGAAGCAGGACAGGAGAGAGTTGCAGCCAAGGAATAAGCAAGTTGCTCATGGAGTAGAAAAGATACTGGAGACTAATTCTGAAAAGCCCTCACAGTGCTTGTGTAGCATTATGCTCTCTTCTCCCAAAATCCACATCCCAAGGAAGCCAAAGCCAAAGGAAGGCTGTCAGCTCCCTTTGGATACACATCATACGGACCAAGCTGCTGGCAAAGCAGACAAAGAGGTGGGAGAACTCGATACTTTAGAGCACCTGACATATTCCTGGGGGCTGCTCCTGGCTCATAGTTCAGGTTTATTTTTCTTTTTCTTGTCAAAATGAACACTCAGAAGAGAATGAACTTTTATTTTATTAGATTTTACTGGTGAATGCTTTCCTGTCAAAAGGATTTCTTTTTTCCATTATTCCAAGATGACAATGTTCAGGGTTTTTTGTTGTTGGTTGGGTTTTTTTTTTTTATATAAAAGGCCTTTTGTTTTCCCAAGCCACAGTGTGACCTGAAAGAGTTCTCTACCTGAAGGAGCCTCTGATGGCATCTGTTTAATATGGTGGTGTGATGGATGTGAAACAAATCCCTCACCATTGTCAAGCATGTTTGATATGTTTTTCTGTATTGTGGGGTAAAAAAAGAAAAGTTACCTTTATGATGAGCTTTGATTTAAATAAGGAACTGATATTCCTTAATATTTAAGATTTGTAGCTGAGTAGAAGATGCTGAAGGAGGTATTGTTATGTGAGCATCAGTCCCTTTCCCCAGTCAGAGTAAGATCTTCAGTGGAGTCCAGGCTGATGGTCAGAAGGCTGACATCATTAAAGAAAAGATCTGGAGTTCATTAATAGAAGCTGTAAGGAGAAGTAGTGGGGGTTTCAGATGTTAAAAAATCCTTTGCTGAGAAGCTTTTTATTAAAACAAAGTCGGATGTTTCACATACAGTTTTCCAAACTGCAGCTCAAGTGCAATGGGCTTGCTGCTTAATGCAAAATGGAGGGACTCAGCTGTGTGTGGAAGGAGTTTGCAATGGCAGATAAGGCCATTGTAATACTGCCTGAATTTTGTCATTAACATAGCTAATAAATATAATTCTAGGGTTTTTTATGGATAACGTTTTTTCCTGAACAGTGACTGAGGACAGATTACAAAGTGTAAGAGGTATATATGGTATAGTGTTGTTATTTTTTGTGAGGAGCTTTTTGGATTTGCTAAGAGGTCTTGGCCAATGATTTTGTCAACATCAAATTACTCAAAATTTCTATAAATTAAATTACTGTCTTCACTTCTGCATCAGACTCCAGCTTGATTATGTTTCAACATTAATGGTATAATGGTTGTTTTCAGGTTTTTCTGGTCTTGGGGATGGTGTCTAAATATCTTCTGGAGTTATCCAGGAGTTCATTTCCATTTTGCTAATGCCTTGGTGATGTTGCATAGCTTAGTCTAATTTAAAAATGACTTATCTCTCTTTTATTTCTTTTTGTAACAGAAAAATGTCTGCCTGACCAGCTGGAGAATTAAAGTGATGGATGGTAACACTGCAATCTATATTGAGGGGAAACGGAAGTAAGGAAAGGTTTTCTGCTTTGAGGGCAATACAGAACATGTTGGTGGGCTTCCAGCGCTCTCTCTGCAGCGGGATGAGGAGCTGTAGCTTTGAGGCTGGTGTTCCTGCAGTATCTTGGTAACTGCTGGAAGCAGTTCCACACAGTGCTGCCTCTTCACTCCCCAGCCACAGGGAACACAGCCCTTTGCTTGCACCCTGAGCATTGTGCCAGTGCTTACAGCTCTTAGCCTCTTTTTTAAGCATAGCTAATTATCTCCTAACTAAGCAGGGACCTGTTTGCTTCAGGGGCTGTAGAATGGCAGAGCTGGTGCTCAGGGGGATGAGGGTCTGCACGGCTGGAGGCTGAGGAATGATGGGGAGGAAGGAATCATGGCTGTCCTGGCTTAGGTGGCTACGGGAGCTGCACCTTCATGGAACTTATCCTTAGCTTTTGGTAAATACAAAGTGATGTTACAGTTTAAACTTCATCAAGGAAGAGATGAGTTCCTTCATGTGTGCAGGAGGTAGAGTGCCTGCATGTGGGAAGCTACTGGTGCAATAATGATTTCAAACTCCAGTCCCGAGCTCATCAGAGAGCTTAAGGGGAACAAAGAGAAATGTGTTTGTCTAGCAGGTCCCCCAGGCTGGTGCTGACACGAGGGTCTTGGGAGCTCCTACTTCATTCCACAAAGATTGTATTTTGTGGCTGTTTTAAGTCCAGCTTGGTGCAGGCTGCCATCAGCCACGTGTTCCTGCACCCTTCCCTGCCACCAGCCTGTTCTCTTCTCCTTTGTGTTGGTGCCTGATACGTGTTGCTTCTGTTTGCATGTGATATATTTCATTTGCTTTATAGACCCTCCAGATTGGCTTCTCTTAATATTTTGTGACAAGTTATACGGTTGGATGTTTTCCCTGTCGCCTTGGGCTTCAGTCCTTAGTATTGTTCTGTAGTTTGATCTGTTGGTTACTGTTGAAAACTGTATTTAAAACAACAAAATCAAAACCAAACAAAAAACCCCAACACTTTGTAGGTTTTTCTACTTTAATGCTTGTGTCTCTTTTTATTTCTCATGGAGAAGTCCCTTCAGGATTTCTTAACTCTAGTTTTTGCACATATTAGGTCTCCTTCTTCAGTTCTTGTTAATAAATAAGAAGATCAGAAATAAATATAATAATCTTGGGGGAAATATACGTTTGAGCTGTGTAATGGTAGTTTTGTAACTTGCATAATGTTATCACTGCAGGAATGAGCTGGGTGGAATCCTGTAGTCCACTTGGCTTTCTGCAGCCTCCTGTCAGTGCAGCCTAATTCTGTGACTGACGTTTGCAATAGTTAACAGGTTCATTTTCTTTCCTGATGTCAGTGCAGCCTAATTCTGTGACTGACATGTGCAATAGTTAACAGGTTCATTGTCTTTCCTGTCTGAGGATTAACAAGGCCAGAACTGTTTCTCTTCCAAGCTAGGAAAAGAAAACCTAGCACATCCTGCCAGTGTCTATTTCACTCATAAAACATGTAACACTGCCAGCCCCCTGTGGAATATCAATATTCTAGTTTTAAATTCCCTCTTCTGTGAAAACAATGTTTTATTTCTGTTCTTCATGTTATCTGTGGTTGTTTTTTAGTGATAAGAAGGGTCATTACTGGTGTAGTAATGCGATTACGGAGCGCATAGCACACAACCAAGTTAAAACTTCATCTGGCAGTATCTACTCGCTGCAGGGAAATATAGATTCAGCTTGGATGAGGAAAGAAGGTAAGGAGGTGATTCTTAATGTAATGTGACAAACCAAGAAGGGCTTCAGATTTATGATTGAACGTACTGCTGAAGTGATTAGCATCTTACCCTGCTAATTGGGCTCGGTGGGTATTCAGCACGTGCTGGAAAGTGACTCCAGCATCACCTCTCCAAATACTGTCTAATTCACATCAGACAGTATTAATTTTGGGGGTGCTGCAGTTACAGAGAGGTCTTTCAGAGCGTGAAGTTGGCTAATGGGTACATTCTTTTAAAGAAACTGTTTTTTTTGCTAAGATTGCCTTTATGTGATTTTGGTCAATGTTTTGCTGTTTAAATAGCGCTAAGAAATGCAAATAGGGATTGAATTTAATAATTCATATTTCGTTTAATATGAAATTATTCTGGTGTGTGTGTGTGTGACTTACTGTTCAGTCATTAACCACTACATGGTGTTTCTGGAGACAGAATAATTGTGGTGTCAGTGCTTTATAACTTAGTAAACTGAACCATCTTCAGGGTCATCTGAGTGCTGTGTTGTACCAAATCCAGCAAAACTTCCTGCTTCAGGTTGTTTTGAAGCATGTGGAATTTTAAAGGAGATTTAATTTACACACAAAGTTCAAGTTAGGCTTGGCTTTATTCTGTTTTTCTTGCTTCCCCTACATCCCCTGTCGTGTTCACTCTTAAATGAGCTGCCATGCTAGTGGCTGTGGGCAGCTTTGGGAACTTAAGGAGCACCCGCAGCGTGGATGGAATGAACACTTGCCCTAACACAGACCTGCCTGGTGCACATCATCACACTCTTTTTGAAGGAGCGTGGAAGCATTTCCCAGGCCCAGCACAAGGCATCTGAGGATGAGTCTGTTGCTCTGGTTGGTGAGGGTGAGGCTGGCCACAAAGCGTGAGAGCTTCAGAACGGGCTCTGAAGTGATGACATCCAGTCCTGAGAACTGGAAGTGGTGTGTGTGGTGGTAGGGGAAGCGTGTTGTTACATGTGTCACAGAGTGGTTTCATAGTCTGTTACCTACTGAACATGCTGGTGCTGGAGGTGATTTCCACCCTTTCTGATGAACAGCATTGCTCAGCTATTGTTAATGCTGCTTCTGTTCCAAACAGGATTTCCCTACCGTTTCATCAAAAGATTCACATATGGGTTTTCCAAAAAGTGGAAGGAATATGTTGAGGAGTTTCTTGAGGAAAGAAGGAGGTAATTTCTTTGGAGATTCCATTTCATCTCGATGTTCTCTGAGTATTTATTGAGCTGCTGCTTTTTAAGAATGCTGTACTAGATGAGTATGAGAGATGGCAGATGTGTGCATGAGGACTGCGTTCCGGGGAGATACTGGTCGCTGCTTTGGAAGGATCCCCTTTGCCTGTCCTCATTATCCTGTTTGGTTTTGTTCCTCTTGTTTACATGACCTTAGAGCAAAGAGAAGCAAAGGGCTTCACTGAGGTAGTGGCTCCCATGGTGTCCATGTGAGTACGGCTGCACTGTGCCATTGGGCTTGGGCTGAGATGAGGAAAAGACCTTGAGTTTGCCTAAGTTAATGTGGTGTTAAAGGACAAGCTCGAGGGAGGGGATTGTCCCCCTCTACTCTGCCCTTGGGAGGCCCCAGCTGGAGTGTTGTGTCCAGGCCTGGAGCCCCCAACACAAGAAAGATGTGGAGCTGTTGGAGTGGATCCAGAGGAGAGTCAGGAAGATGATCAGAGGGCTGGAGCACCTCTCTGCTGGAGAAAGGCTGAGGGAGCTGGGCTTGTTGAGCCTGAAGAGAAGGCTCCAGGGAGAGCTCATTGCAGCCTTCCAGTACCTGAAGGGAGCTTAGAAACAGGAGGGAGAGAGACTTCAGACATGGGCAGAGAGTGACAGGACAAGGGGAAATGGTTTTAAACTGAGAGGGGAGATTTAGGTTGGATATTAAGAGGAAATGTTTCACCCAGAGGGTGGTGAGACACTGTCCCAGGTTGGCCAGAGCAGCTGTGGATGCCCCATCCCTGGAGACATTCAAGGCCAGATTGGATGGGACCCTGGGCAGCCTGATCTAGTGGTTGGTGACCCTGTCCACAGCAGGGGGGTGGAACTGGATGAGCTTTAAGGTCCTTTCCAACCCAAACCAGTCTGGGATTCTATGACAACTGCTTCAGATGTTTATTATTTCTTTTCTTGAACTCCAAATCATTAGGAAAGAACAAAAACAAAATACTAGTGAGGATGAAAACGAAGACAGCGACGCAGTGGTGGGTACAGAAGTTTTGAGAAATGCAGAAGACTCAGCAAGAAACGTGAAGAAACCTGAAACCAGAAACACCACCTATGAAGTGTCACCGAAGAACGATGAGAACACTTGTGGGTATTTAATAATCCTTTTCTTTGGAAAAAAGTTGGGGGTTTTTGAGAGCTGTTTTCCCCAGCAAAAGATAATCTCCTACCTGTCTGGTTTGTATGTTGTTAGTCAGGCTGTATGGAAGAGGTGACAGACTGGTTGGGTGAAGTGCTGTGTTTGTGTTCACTTGGACTGCAGCGATCAGGAGCCTTGACTTGTGTCTTTATTCTGGTTCCCTGATGTACAACAGCTACTCAAGTGTTTATGGGGCTGTCCTGAGGGTCAACCCTGGGAAGAAGCAGGAGCCTGTTTTGGTCTCTAGTAGCTGAAGACAACGACTCCAGAGCTGGTTATTCTGACAGCAGACGTGGCTTATTTTTTTTCCAGTTCTATTTTGCATAACATCTCTCAGTCCTTCTGGGGAACCCCTTGGGATTTAGTGCCTCCATCGGGGCTCCATCCTGGGGACTCCTCCCCTGCTCTGCCCACCTCCTTTTTTAGCTGGATTATTTTTAACTCCTATCAAGTCCTTGGGCAGGTTTATTTTATGGCATCTTAGTGTTTTTGCCACAGTTGAGGCACAAAGAGTGACCACAATTGGGGGCAGACGGAATGGACTGTGGAAAAATGCCACCCCTCGGCTTTGTTTCCGAAGGAAATGGTTGTAAAGCCACAACCTATTGATCCTCTTTGCCTTGTGGTGCAACCCCAGCTTTGTTAGGGACACCAGTAGCTTTTGGGTTAACTTTGATTTCTTTTTAATGTTTTCTCATCTGTTCCAGTAGGTCTTCAGCCAGACTTTGCTGTACTGTTTGGTAATACTGTAATCAGATTTTCTTGCCAATGCTATAGAAGCCGTTTAATTTTTCTCTCTCGTTACAATTAGGATTTGTTTAGTGTGACAACTTTTCTTTGCCATTCTACTGCCCTATATGACCTTTACAGTATTTATAACCTGAACAAAGTAAACATAAAAGAGGTCACAACAGTGAATTTAATAATTAGTGAAGGTGATTCCTTCAGTCACATGAAGGTATGCTTATTTCTAACCTGAGCACTTTCAAGAGAACAATATAACATGATAGTAAGTTCTATATTTTCATGGTAGTCAGTGCAGATGAGCTGGTTTAAACACACTTTGTTTCTCCTCTGCTTGTGAAGTCTGCAAAGGTACTTTCAATGCAATATTTGGGCTAAAACTGTATTTCTTGGGGTTTTTTTTCTTGTAGTTACAACACCAAAAAGCAACCCCGTGTCGAAAGGCTCGGACAGAGTTTACACTCGCAGCGGTCGCCTCGTTAAACCACCATTAAGTTTCTGGTGTGGGCAACGTGAGTTTGTTGATCAGGATCTAAACGTGACTATAGAAGAGGGTGGAGTGGATTATTTGAGCATGGTAAGATTTTCTGCCTGTTGTGACCTAAAGTTGCGTGGGTGCTGTGGCTGCCTGCGCTTGGATGAGCACCTGTGTTCATCACATAGTGTTTTGTAGATACTGGGCCATGTAGGTGACTTTTAAATCTACCCAACCTGTAAACATTTGGCTTTTTCAGAGCTGGCATTGGTAGGCTTGCTGTGTAATCTCTAGCAGAAGTTTAGATTAAACTGTTTTATTTTGAAGATGTTTAGTAGTGAAAAATCCCAAAGAAAGACCAATTCCAACTCTAAGAAGAATAAAAGAAAGGAAGTACTGAAGACAACAAAAGAAACACCAAAAAGCCCAAGTAAAGGTAAAAAAAATGGAATACATATATATTTTTTTTATTTTATTTTTTAAGTTATTGACTAGAATCAATAGGATTGTGAGTTGGGTACTGGAGCAGTATGGTGATGTCCTGTTAAAGCAAAGAAATTATTTAAATCTTTTAATGATCAATTGCTTCTTCTATGCAGAATTATCAGAGTAGCATTACTGCCTCCTTTTACAGCTCTGAATATAGGCTGCATTTGTAAATCACTTCTGTATTTACACAAGGGGAACAGGCAGGTTTCAAATGAAGGGATTACACTACTTTTGGCGTTGCTGCTCCTGTACTTGGGATCTCTCAGCACAGCTGTTACCTGTGACTCGAGAGAGCCTGAAGAGAAACAAAGGTCACCAGCCTGCTGAAAAAACCAGTGATCTGGCTTTGCTTTTTAAACTGGATGAATGAAATGAAATGAAATGAAATGAAATGAAATGAAATGTCTATGTAGGCAAAAAGAAAAAAAGTGTATTAACAGAGTTATAAAACTTTTATTTTTGATAAAATTTGGGAAATAATAGAACCCTGAAAACAATATACAATACGAAGCAGAAGTTTCTCTTCTAAAGTAACTGTTAATTTTCCTGCAGAAGGAGCTGTTTGTAGCACAAGGAAAACTTCTGGGGTGTCAGTGTTGGGTCAGCCTGTCCTGGTTTTGCAGACCACGCAGCCTCAGTCAAAGCATCTCAGCAACATTTTCTGCTTACTATTTTATTCTCTGTCTGCTCAATTCTTTCACGTTCCCTTTTGTAGCCTCCATAATCCTCATTGTAAAGGGTGTTGGACTCGATGATCCCTTTGGATCCTTCCCAACTTGAGATATTCTATGATGCTTTGAGAATTCTTTTAGGCAGCCTGTCATGGGAGTGAACTGGGCAGGAACAGGACATCCCCTGTACTCCAGGAACCCTCCCTGCTGCTGGCTGTGCTCCCCCCGAGCAGGGGGATGCTTGCTCAGGATGAATTCAGTGCTTACAACTGGTTTTCATAGACTCATAGAATGGTTTGGGTTGGAAGGGACCTTAAAGCTCATCCAGTTCCACCCCCCCTGCCATCAGCAGGGACACCTTCCACTAGAAGGTGTGTTTTGTGCTCTGTGTTCTTTGTAAGAGTTGTGTAAATGGATTTTCTCTGCTCCCTGCCTGCTGGGATGTGCTGTCGTGTCTGCAGCCTCTTGTTCCCGAAGAATTTAATCACCAACACATAGTGTATGTGTGAGGACAGAAGCCTTTCCTCGCTCCTTCCTAGATGCACGTGTGGGGAGGGAGGTGCAGTGACCTCAGGAAGCTTCACTAGGGGCTGGTTCTACTCAGTCGTGGTTGGTGAAGTCCTGGACGTGGGTTAAGGGCAGCAATGGGTTTATGGTTATCTGTTGGGTCAGCCTGTGGAGATGGGCAGCAGGTTTCTGTGCTGCACGTCCCTTGCACAGGGAAGGGGCAGGCAGTGCAGAGCGTGATCTACCCTTCCGTGTGTCACTCACCAGGTCCTCTCTGAAGTGACACTTTGCTGTGTTATGGAGGGGAGCAGTAGTTAATTTATCTTTGTTATCAAAACTCAGCCAAGTCCTGAAGAACTGAGTGTTCTGTTAGTGTGAGGAGACCATATTTATAAACATTGATTAGCGTGACCTCATTAATGTTTATAAATATGTAAAGGGGGATGGAGCCAGGCTCTTCTCAGTGATGCCCAATGGTAGGACAAGGGGCAATGGGTGTGAGCTGGAACACAGGAGGTTCTGCTTAAACTTGAGGAGAAACTTCTTTCCAGTGAGGGTGGCAGAGCCCTGGGACAGGCTGCCCAGGGAGGGTGTGGAGTCTCCTTCTCTGGAGACATTCAAACCCACCTGGACACCTTCCTGTGTGATCTCATTGAGGTTCCTGCTCTGTCAGGGGGATTGGACTGGATGATCTTTTGAGGTCCCTTCCAATCCCTGACATTCTGTGAGGCTTCTGCAGAAGCTGGGGAGCCGCAGGCTGGAGGCGTGCCACTTCCCACAGACTGCAGTCTGCCTGACAGACAGGAGTTCCCAGATCTCAGCGAGCACGGGATTCATTTCCCACAGCAGCAGGGCTGGTCTGTGCTTGTCTGAGAACACAGGAACCATTTACCTCCCCGTGTGTGATATTACACTGGTGTCATCTCTTCCAGGGAAAAACGATGAAAAAGAAGGACGTTCCAAAAGGAACACCAAGCCTGTTGGGAGCAAGGAGGCCAGGCAGTTTGTTTCAGATGATGATGAAAGCCATCGTGCAATCGATAGGACACAAAATAAAACGCAGGTTTCTGTTAAACAGAATCCCTTAAATACCAAAATACCAAACAAACATAACAGCAGAATCCCAGGAACAGCAAAGGAAAAGAGAGACAACGAACACGGAGAATTGCCTGCGTATCCGAACGCTCACAGGTACTCTCTGAGGTCAGACAGACAGCTGCATTTAACAGAAGAACTGTCGAGCAAAGATGAGGAAGAGGAGTCCAGTGAAGATATCCCACTGTCTATCAAAAGGAAAAATAAATCCTTCTTAAAAGAAGTGACTCAAAACTCCAGACCTTCCCCTCACTGTAAAAGTTCCCAGGATGATGCCAACAAGGCGTCACGTGAGCAAAGGACAGTAAGACACTCTGCTGCCTCCCATGAGGCGCCGTCGAGGCAAAGTGTGCCCAAATCCACGGGTGGTTCTGAGGTACTTGAAGGAAAAACACTGTCTAGTGAGTCTAGAACTTCCCAGCTGCCCGACAGGACATTGAGGACAAGAAGCAGAATCAAGCCCCCAAAGTATATCTTTGAATCTGACTCTGAGCCTGAAAGCGATGAAGAGGAAATTCAAGTAAAAGAAAAGAATTCAGAAATACCTGAGAAAACCCAAAATGGCAAAGTCTCTAATACTGCCAAGTCTTCAGCAGCAAAGTCAAGAGAACCTGAGAGGCCAAAGGTGCAGAAATCTCTAGAACTTTTTCCCAGGGCAGCTGATGGTTGGTCTGAGAAGGAACTGCAGAAGCTCTCCAGGCAAGTGGTTGCCCTGTGAAAACAGGACAAAGGTTCCTGCCGACCCTGGGAGGCAGAACACACCCGAGGGTTTGGGTGGGCTGGGTTTGGATTTCTCAGATTCAGTCTTTCTCGTTATTTTTAAAGTTTCCTTTCCGTTTTAATCCCCCCTTACAGAATAAATTCTGTTAGCAAATGAAAAAATAGTGAAACAAAGGAGACAACTGAATATTTTCTAAAATAACTGCCAATGTGTGAGCCTCCAGCAGCTCCCACCACTATCGGTGTCACAGATAGTAAGCAAAAAAATTGGGAATCTACTTACCTTGCCTTTACCTGTTTTTCAAAACCACATAATTAATCTTGTTAAAAGTGAGAAACATTCCTGAGCAGGCAAACAATATGGTAAAGGTTTTCACATTCATGATTGATGAATGTGAAATCATCAATCTTGATGAGCAAGTCAGAGTATTGTCTCCCCTAAAGGAATAAAGAGTTAAACACGAGTATTTGTGTATTTGAGTTTTGTAAAATGGAGATTAACTGCACGGATGTTTAATTAAGGCATTGTCCAATTAAACAAGCCATTAGGTAGTGTTTAGTGTTTGCATATACACCAGGTTTGGGTTTGTTCCTTTTCAATTAGAAACCCGAAAAGGCAGGAGCTCGTGTCTCGGGGGGTGGGGCTGGACCTGCTGCAGATCAGGAGGAGATTTATCTTGTAACAGAGCTGTGAGATAAGTTATTCACATAACTTTTTACACGTTTTAAAGCGTCTGGGCAAGACATCAGAGACAGGATTCTCTACATCCAACACAGCAGGTCCTTCCTCGGCAGGGCAGCTGGTCTCTGGGTGCTGCACTTGTCAGACCCTTCAGTGACAGAGGTGGTGGCTTTGTTCTCTTGGCAGGGCCGTTGCTTCGTTTCCAAAACACAAGAGTGGCTTCTGGGTGGAGGTGGCCATGGCCGTGGGGTCTCGCTCTGCTGAAGAATGCCATCAGAAATATGTCGAAGAACAACAGGCAAAAGGTTCCAAAACACACGCCAAGAAGAACACCGCTTCAGGAAAACCCGAGCAGAAAGGTACTGATGTCTTGGTTCTGGGCATTTTGTTGTCTTTAAATAATTTAAAATTCAGTATTTATTATGTAATGGGAGATAGAGCCATCGATGCACGTCAGGGTCCCACAGTGAAGATCATCTTCTGTGGTGTGAGTGGTTGTTGCGGAGCCTGGGTGTCATAAATGATTGAAGTAACAAGAAGAGAAAGGGTATTTTTAGAGTTGGTTTTGGCATGATGGGAAGACTTAAACTGGCCTTGCCACCTAAGGGAGTCACAGAGTCACAGAACGGTGGGGTTGGAAG